CAAGCCATTCCGGTACATTCCCGGGAAATCCTCCTACAGCGACACTCAGCAGCAGGAATGCAAAATCTCCGCAGCGAGCAGGATTCGAACCTGCGCGGGCAGAGCCCAATTGATTTCTAGTCAATCTCCTTAACCACTCGGACATCGCTGCCTGCAGTGTTCTGATGGCACTCAATCAAGCCATTCCGGTACATTTCCCGGGAAATCCTCCTACAGCGACACTCAGCAGCAGGAATGCAAAATCTCCGCAGCGAGCAGGATTCGAACCTGCGCGGGCAGAGCCCAATTGATTTCGAGTCAATCTCCTTAACCACTCGGACATCGCTGCCTGCAGTGTTCTGATGGCACTCAATCAAGCCATTCCGGTACATTTCCCGGGAAATCCTCCTACAGCGACACTCAGCAGCAGGAATGCAAAATCTCCGCAGCGAGCAGGATTCGAACCTGCGCGGGCAGAGCCCAATTGATTTCTAGTCAATCTCCTTAACCACTCGGACATCGCTGCCTGCAGAAGTAAAGCTGCAATCATTCCGGTACATTTCCCGGGAAATCCTCCTACAGCGACACTCAGCAGCAGGAATGCAAAATCTCCGCAGCGAGCAGGATTCGAACCTGCGCGGGCAGAGCCCAATTGATTTCTAGTCAATCTCCTTAACCACTCGGACATCGCTGCCTGCAGTGTTCTGATGGCACTCAATCAAGCCATTCCGGTACATTTCCCGGGAAATCCTCCTACAGCGACACTCAGCAGCAGGAATGCAAAATCTCCGCAGCGAGCAGGATTCGAACCTGCGCGGGCAGAGCCCAATTGATTTCTAGTCAATCTCCTTAACCACTCGGACATCGCTGCCTGCAGAAGTAAAGCTGCCCTCAATCATTACAAACCGCCCCTTCGCCTTTGCGGAAGGGGTACGGTCCGTCAAGATTCCGGTACATTTCCCGGGAAATCCTCCTACAGCGACACTCAGCAGCAGGAATGCAAAATCTCCGCAGCGAGCAGGATTCGAACCTGCGCGGGCAGAGCCCAATTGATTTCTAGTCAATCTCCTTAACCACTCGGACATCGCTGCCTGCAGAAGTAAAGCTGCCCTCAATCATTACAAACCGCCACTTCGCCTTTGCGGAAGGGGTACGGTCCGTCAAGATCATTCCGGTACATTTCCCGGGAAATCCTCCTACAGCGACACTCAGCAGCAGGAATGCAAAATCTCCGCAGCGAGCAGGATTCGAACCTGCGCGGGCAGAGCCCAATTGATTTCTAGTCAATCTCCTTAACCACTCGGACATCGCTGCCTGCAGTGTTCTGATGGCACTCAATCAAGCCATTCCGGTACATTTCCCGGGAAATCCTCCTACAGCGACACTCAGCAGCAGGAATGCAAAATCTCCGCAGCGAGCAGGATTCGAACCTGCGCGGGCAGAGCCCAATTGATTTCTAGTCAATCTCCTTAACCACTCGGACATCGCTGCCTGCAGAAGTAAAGCTGCCAAGATCATTCCGGTATATTTCCCGGGAAATCCTCCTACAGCGACACTCAGCAGCAGGAATGCAAAATCTCCGCAGCGAGCAGGATTCGAACCTGCGCGGGCAGAGCCCATTGATTTCTAGTCAATCTCCTTAACCACTCGGACATCGCTGCCTGCAGAAGTAAAGCTGCCAAGATCATTCCGGTACATTTCCCGGGAAATCCTCCTACAGCGACACTCAGCAGCAGGAATGCAAAATCTCCGCAGCGAGCAGGATTCGAACCTGCGCGGGCAGAGCCCAATTGATTTCTAGTCAATCTCCTTAACCACTCGGACATCGCTGCCTGCAGTGTTCTGATGGCACTCAATCAAGCCATTCCGGTACATTTCCCGGGAAATCCTCCTACAGCGACACTCAGCAGCAGGAATGCAAAATCTCCGCAGCGAGCAGGATTCGAACCTGCGCGGGCAGAGCCCAATTGATTTCTAGTCAATCTCCTTAACCACTCGGACATCGCTGCCTGCAGTGTTCTGATGGCACTCAATCAAGCCATTCCGGTACATTTCCCGGGAAATCCTCCTACAGCGACACTCAGCAGCAGGAATGCAAAATCTCCGCAGCGAGCAGGATTCGAACCTGCGCGGGCAGAGCCCAATTGATTTCTAGTCAATCTCCTTAACCACTCGGACATCGCTGCCTGCAGTGTTCTGATGGCACTCAATCAAGCCATTCCGGTACATTTCCCGGGAAATCCTCCTACAGCGACACTCAGCAGCAGGAATGCAAAATCTCCGCAGCGAGCAGGATTCGAACCTGCGCGGGCAGAGCCCAATTGATTTCGAGTCAATCTCCTTAACCACTCGGACATCGCTGCCTGCAGTGTTCTGATGGCACTCAATCAAGCCATTCCGGTACATTTCCCGGGAAATCCTCCTACAGCGACACTCAGCAGCAGGAATGCAAAATCTCCGCAGCGAGCAGGATTCGAACCTGCGCGGGCAGAGCCCAATTGATTTCGAGTCAATCTCCTTAACCACTCGGACATCGCTGCCTGCAGTGTTCTGATGGCACTCAATCAAGCCATTCCGGTACATTTCCCGGGAAATCCTCCTACAGCGACACTCAGCAGCAGGAATGCAAAATCTCCGCAGCGAGCAGGATTCGAACCTGCGCGGGCAGAGCCCAATTGATTTCTAGTCAATCTCCTTAACCACTCGGACATCGCTGCCTGCAGAAGTAAAGCTGCCCTCAATCATTACAAACCGCCCCTTCGCCTTTGCGGAAGGGGTACGGTCCGTCAAGATTCCGGTACATTTCCCGGGAAATCCTCCTACAGCGACACTCAGCAACAGAGGTATTGAAACTTAATAGCTTCACACAACAAGCCTGCTTGCGCCTAATCTACAACTCTTCTCTCGTTGCAAATGTCAAGATTAGATGGATGGGACTGTATTTGCGTTGTGAAGAAGAGACAGAATACTTCACACGCTCCACTGAGACTCAAGTTATCGACAGCAAACGTTGTCCTTACCGAGGATCATGTTCAGGGGATAAGTGCGCCAGTATAAATAGCACTAGCCTTATTCCGGAACTCCAAATCGGTAACTCATATCCTGGGCGAACGGATTGCTATGAATCCTGCGGGGTTTTGGATGCCTATGTGGATCATTTAGCTCAGGCTGTCTCTTCTTCCGGCTGTACGCAAAACCAAAAAGCACAAAGATTTATAGAATATTCCGTTGCTTGCGCTGGACGGAGGAGGTAAAGTTAGAAGTGTTAGTTGAAACTGCCAACACAAACCCGAGTCGAGGAATGGTACATAGTGGGACTACTTCCCAACGTTCCCATAGACTTTCCATCCCTAAAAATCACCATGACATCCCTCACGATGCCCCCTATGCCACAATTGAGCAATGACTTTATCACTGATGGCACAGATACGGCCATCTATACGAGAAAGATAATCCCAAATCTTTTCTGCGAAAATCAGGAAGCGGCGGAAACGTTGAACTGCACCTTCGCAGAAAACTGTAAATGTGCACCTGCTGAAACAAAAGTTCGATGTGAATGTCCTCCTTCGGACGTAACAGAAGAGCTCAGTCACATCGAGCTCAAACTGCCTCTGAAAAGTCCCTCTTGGGAACTTAAAAAAGGGCGAAAAATGCCGCACTTACAGCAAAAATCCCGAACCTGGTATCTTCGGAAGTTTTCATCAACTTTCACAAAACGGTAGAACCTGACTCCTGCTAGAAGTACAAAATCTAAGCTGCACTATCGAAAACACCTCATTGAATGGCTGCTATAATTGTGCGAAAGGCGCCATCGCGAACGTGAAGTGTACATCACCGAAGGAAACTCATGGCGAAGTTTTATGCGCCTCTCCATTCCTTTGTCATTCCGTGTGCACCTAGCAGTCCACTGTCACCTTTACGATTCCATTTGGGATCCGCGCGCCAGTTTTTAGACTGCACTATTTCTTGTGGTACCCTTAAGCACCCCTTCAAGTAGAAGGCATCCTGAAGTATGTCAACGGTCTACAGTACCCTTTGCTGTCTAAACTACAAGGCAGCAGTAGCAACTACCATGAGTCTTCATGGCCCGACTTTGGACATATTTTTGACGTTTTTCTTTATTGGTACAAAAGCTTACTTATGGTCCTCGTGGCAATTGCGCTATCAATCTTCCTAATTTACATATTTCTCACTGCTATAGGATTGCGCCTCCTTAAGTCGATGCTGGGCATCATTTGGAGTCTAACTACCTTACCTCTTCGTATCATTATTCGCATCCTGGCATATACCCTCACCAAAAAACAAGCAACTCCACATGCGCCCTTGAAAAAGTGGGCTTAGTCCACTCATAAACAGATATTACTTCATAAATGATTTAGAATGACTTTATTTCTTTAGATTCATCACCAACATCTGTAAGCCCACGTAGGTGCGCCAAAAGAAAAAAAATTAAACGAATATGCACAGTGAGGTACTTGATTAGTGCGCCTTCCCAAAAAAACTCCATCACTTTAGTGCGATTTTCAGAACATGGTAACTTTTGATACCGTTGAGGACGAACTTCGTCGTGCACAGCGCGATCTTCAACAGCTGCAAAAAGCCATTCCGCCATTACCAGAACCACAACAGCTGTATGATAGCATTGTATCATTGTGTTTCGATCATTATACTTGCACACAAGCTGTCACTGTTTTGGAAAAGAAAGTCCGTCAATCATGCCTCTGCCTCTAAGCCTTTTCAGGAACGTATTCTTGAGATTGATTTGTTGAATTTAGAAGTTGATCACCTGCGTCTTCAGTTTCTTTACTGTAGATCACAATTGCGCACTCTTTATTCAGTTCCTCCGTTACTCATTGCGTTAGGAAAGATGTCACGAGAATTCTGGGAATCCCTAATGCGCCAACCACAGGAGATAAACGAAGCTATGACGCTTTTGATGGATTTACCCATGATAGAACACGGTTATTTCTGACCACTTGCAAACGCTTAGCTCTCTCCATTCCACCCTTAGTAACGTGCGCATGGAAGCCCAAACTGCGAAAGACAAAGATGCCCTTACATTCGAGAGGGAAATGCGCAATAAGCTCGCCTACCTTGAGCAACTCATCACGGATTCGAAAGACTCCGTAATGAGTGCAATAAAGACCGAAACTCTCTCCCCAAGCCACGGCCATCTGCAGCTTAATGTTGTACATCAAGGAAGCGGCGACGAGGAAATCCGAGGGGTTCGCGGAGAAAATGATATTATCGAGGGCAATGCAAACTTTATGGAAGGAGTTGATGAGCCCGATGAAGCAGAAGATGTCGAGACGGATGAAGAAGCAGACGCGGAGAAGAATTCGCCGAAGCAGAAGTCGAAGAGCCCGACGAGGAAGAAGTCGTCGAAGCGATTGGAAGAAGAGATTGCTGAAGAAGAGATTGGCGAAGCAGATGTTGAAGAGCCCGATGAGGAGGAAAATTTTGAGGCAGAAAATGAGGGTGCCGACGAAGGACATATTCATGAGAGACAGTGATCACGAAGACGCTCCCAACGACGAACACGAAGGGCAAATGGTAATGAGACTTGAGCAACAGTTTAACAGTGCCCAGCAAGCGCTACGTAACTTCGAAGAAATTTTGCACCAGTTAGATAACGAGTACATTTGCCCCCCTAGGCGGTTTGATTATGGATTCATTAATAAAGCTCGTGAGCGTCACATGAGATGCGCCTTCTGCCAAGCCACAGGATCCCACTATTCAGATTCCTGCACTGTTGTGCGCGACATTGGAATTAGGATACAGTTGATCGAGACGAACCAATAGGTGCAAAAGGTGTCTCGAACTCATCTGTTCGAGGGGGTCCCTTTGTAAGAAATATTTCACACACTGCTTCTATTGCCGTAATCGCGGTCATCACAGTGCACTGTGCGACTACCCAGAGTACTGTGATCAAATTCGTGCGCGTCTGAACAGAGCTCACGAAGGCCGGAGAAGAAGTATCGCCAAATTGGAGGACCTTCGACGGAAATTGGCCCTTTTCGGAATTCGCCCATGAAATTCGCGAAGCTAACTTCAGAGTGCTCAGATTGAATGATATATACCTGCTTCCCCCAGATTTTCTTGCGCCACTTCTCTACACTTTTCGGGCCGGGAGTATCGCGATTCCCACGCGATTCTACAGTATTCATTCCTGTATCATGAGTCAGGAAAAGATGGAATGCGCTAAGGGATGAGAAATGCAGCTAAAGCTCAGCTTATCACTAACATATATCTTTTAGAGAATAAACAGTATATATAGATACGGTAGAGCAAGAAGAAATTCCATGCAACCCCGCGACTCCGCCTTGTGAATGCCTCAGTTCGCCTTCAAGCGGTGGAAACTGCGACCGACGTGCGCCCGCTTTCCCCCTTCTTTAGTGTGCGCCATGCGCCTGAGATTTATCTTCAATTGGAAGGTGTGATTCGGTCCTGAGTCTCCCCAGAATCCTCGTTCTCTTATTCTCTTCATTCGATGCCTTTTTCTCTTAGGAATTTTTGGTCATTATTTGTCGGAGATTGTTTCTTTTCGTTCGTTGGTCGATTTTATTACTTTAAAAGGTATATTATCGTTTAATTACCCAAGTTTGAGATTGTGCGCCTTGCACCAATAAATCGTGGAGATTACGAGTGTGACGACTTGGAATTCGGTGGTCTCGATCCGTGAAACTTACTGTAATCAACCGCGTGGCACTGAACCATTCGTAAATGGTGCATCGGCCGTTATTCTACTGAACTCGGACAGGAAACAGGCCGGTTTACCTTTTTCCATTCAGTTGTGGAG